CGCCGGCGCCCGCCCTGCGGTCGCGCCCGAGACCCTCTTTCCTCGGGGCAGCCGGCCGGGGCACCCCCGTACCCCAGGTTCGCCCAGCACAACATGCTCGCCCGGAAGCCGTCCGCGCCCGCGGGTGACCACATGCTTTGAACCGGCCGTCGCTGTCGTTAATAATCATAACCCCCGGGAAGCGGGCTCTGGCTGCCACCCCTGGGTCGCGAGCGTCATTCCCGATGCAGGCCGCCCTTCAGACCTGTCACCTGGCACCCAGCCGCCTGTCGTCAGCCCACCCAGCGCCCTGCACCGGGCTGGGCCCCAGTGGGGACGGCGGGCGGGAAAACGCCAGGACCTGTCGCTGCCCCCATCCCCGCCGGTCCTTTCGTCCGAGGACGACGGGCGGGGCCACAGACACCGGCCCCTGATCGCCCCCAGCCTCAGTGACCCGCGCATGGTCGGCTCGGAGGGGCGAGGGACCTGAGCCGGACGGAGGGCCCCTTGGCTTTTCCCGGGAAGCCGTGCGCGCGGGGCCGGGCCCTCTCGAGCACCTGCACGGTCACTGGGAACCGGACCGCTTGCAGCATTTCGACGAGGGCCCAGAGTAGCAACAGCGTCGAGGAAAAGCGGCACCTTTCGGAGGGGACTTTTCACAGCGGAGCGGGACGGCCTTCGGGGGTGGCCGGTGGAGGCCGGGCGCCACCTGCTGTCTGGAGCGAGGAAGGCGGCTCGCGAGCAGGGGTCCTCGAGGGCCCGGGGCTTGGAGGCTTGGGACCTGGGGAGCAACCAGCTGGAGCATCAGGGGAGAAGACGCTTGGGACATACAGCCTTCTGGAAATGAATGATGCTATTATGAGCGATTACCCCTCGAGCATGTGTACAGTTGTTTCTACATGTGAATCTTATCTCATCTTTACTACTTCATAACTCAGATAGGGTCCCCTTTGGCAAACTAGTATCCACCACCAAGTCTAGGCTGGGTACTGTCCTGGATTTCATAAATGCATCAGATATGGTCTCCAGCCTCAAACAGATTATTATTAGATTATGGGGGAAAAAATGACTTATGAACGCAAATAAAAGCCAGAACATTTTCCCTTCTCTTTAAGGTTTTGTTTAATTACAAATTTTTTGAGGACGTGGTTCCATAGTGTAGCGGTTAGTGCGTCTGCTTTACACGCAGAAGGTCCTGGGTTCATGCCCCAGTGGAGCCATGGTCCAGGGTCTATGGCCACGCCACCCTGCACAAGGCCAATGTCTGACCTCAGAAGCTAAACAGGGTCAGGCCTGGTTAGTACTTGGATGGGAGACCACCTAGGAAGACCAGGTGCTCTAGGCATAAATAATAAGAAAATTTTTTTGAGCTGCTTAATAATATTAACCGACATCATGTTCAAGGATCAGAGATGAGGGTGGGCATCCTTGTGTTATTCCAGGTCCTAATGAGGACAGGTCAAACTCTCTCCATTATGCATGACCTAGCTCTAGGAATTTGTTGGAATATATAGTCTTTCAATTTTAGGAAGAATCTTTCGATCGTTAGGGGGATTTTTGGCCCACTAACCTCAAACGATAAATGTGCAGGTTAGTTTACATTTCATTTTAGCTCTCAGCGACATGGATCGATCCTCGGAGGGAGACAGACACGCAGTCTCTCCATTCTAAGAAACTGGGCCCAGAGATGTGAAGGGAGTGACCAAGGGCACGCAGCAGTCAGTGGACAGACAAGCTAGGTCCATAGAGACAGAACTTCTGATTAGAGCACAAAGATACAGAGCTCGCGAGGGGCGACGACCACCAGCCGCAGACTGCAAGGATGTCGGGGAACTCTGCCAGGAGCCTGGAGCGAGGCCTGAAGAGCAGAGTGACGAGCGTGCGCATTCTGTGACCGTCCTGGGGGAGGCTGCCACTCTCGGCGAGTTAGGGGCAGGCACCCAACAAGACCTGGAGCGGGGCGTTGGAACCGAGACCGCCATGCGGAACGCTCGAAGGCCCACCATCTCAGTGAAAGCACAGACTGGAAAAAAATCACTCACTTGCCCAGGAAGGCCATAGGAAGCCTGTCTGTTGGCCTGAGCTCAGGATGAGAGAGAAATGTCTTCCTTGCAAATGCATAGCTGTGGATCTGTCCTCAGAGCAAATGGAGGTGCAAATATCGCTACCCAGTTGGTGTGAGAAATTCTAAAGCTGGTAAATGAACATACGAATGGTTCCTGATGGGCGATATCCCCAGAGCATTTGACAGTAACAAATGCAAAACCTCTCTGGAGAGAGAAGCCCTCAATACAGACCACACAAAATTCACATATTTAACAGCTTCCTTAAAGAAAGTTTAAAACTTAAAAAGTTTTTTAAACTACCGAAAAACAATTTGCCCTCAGAGAAGGTATCAGTATAGACATGGAAAGATTAGAAACCAAAGAACTATAAAGGCTATCAAGTAAGGCTGACCAAAATGACTGAAAGAAATCCAAGAGCTAATTGAAAACATAAATTCACAAGATGTAGTTATTGAAATTGGAAACTCAAAGAAAAGGTTAAAACCCAGATTGGAAACTAATGGAGCATTTTTACACACTGACAACGAACAACCTGAAAAGGAAATTAAGAAGACAATTCCAGTAACAATAGCGTCAAAAACAATACCTGGGAATTACCTTAACCAAAGGAGGTGAAAGGCTTGCACAACGAAAACTACAAAACGCTGCTGAAATAAATTTAAAAAGACATAAACAAGCAGAAAGACATTCCGTGCTCATGAATTGCAGAACTTAATATTGTTAAAATATCAGTACCACCGAAAGCGACCTACAGAGCCAATGCAATGCCTGTCAAATCCCAATGATTTTTTTTTTTTTTTGCAGAAATAGAAAAATCTATCCTAAAATTTATATAGAATCTTAAGGGACCCCAAATAGTTAAAACAATCTCGAAAAAGAAAGTTTGAGGACGTACACTTCCTGATTTCAAAAGTTACTAGAGAGCTACATGAATCGAAGCAGCGTGGTCCTAGCACGGAGTCAGATATATTAACCAGTGGAATAGACTACAGAGCCCAGACCCTCACGTATGTGGTTAGTGATTTTCAACAAGGATGCCAAGACCATTCAGTAGAGAAAGGACAGTCTCTTCAACAAAAGGTGCTGAGAAACCAGATATTCACATCCAAACAAATGAAGTTGGACACTTACCGAATACCGTTCATGACACTTAACTCGAAATGCATCAAAGACCCCAACAGAAGAGCTAAAACTATAAAACTCTTAGAAGAAAACACACGGCATAAGGTTCACGACATGGGATTTGGAAATGATTTCTTGGATATGACACCAAAGACACAGGCAACAAAAATAAAAAGAGACAGATTGGACTTCATGACAATTTAAAACTGTGCATCGAAGGACACTATTGACAGAGTGAAAAGGCCGTCTATGGAATGAGAGGAAGTATTTGCAAACCATATGCCTCATGAGGGATTAATATTCAGAGTATATAGAAGACTCCTAAAACTCAACAACAAAACAAATAACCCGATTTAAAAATAGGCAAAGTACCTGACTATGTATTTTTCCAAAAAAAAGATAATTGAGTGGCCAATAAAACATGAAAAGATGATCACCATCACTAATCATTAGAAAAATGTGAATCAAAACCACAATAAGATATCACTTTCCAGCCATCAGGATGGTTATTATAAAAAAGAAAGAAAGAAGGAGAAATTGGAATTCTTGTACACCTTAAGTGAAAATGTAAAATGATACAGCCACTGTGGAAAACAGGATAGCTGCTCCACAAAAAATTTAAAAATAGAATTAGCATATGTCCCAGCAATTCCACTGTGGGTACATACCCAAGAGAATTGAAGCAGGGTCTCAAAGAGACATCCGTGCACCCGCCTTCACAGCAGCATTATTCATAATAGCTGAACGTGGACGCGACCCCGGTGTCCACCAACAGGAACGAATAAGCAAAACATGGTCTATACACACCATGGAATATCATTTATCCTTAAGAAGGAAGTTCTGACACATGCTCTAACGCGGGTGAACACTGAGGACAGTATGCTA